GTGGGTTATTTTTTGCAATATTTTAATTCACATGGGGTCGACCCCATGTAAGTGCCTGTAAGATTTATGTGGATTATTTTTCTGTACAACCGGATTTTTCCTTTTTTCAAACTCTTTAAAAAATATGCCTTATAATTACAATTTTTTATTTTATTTTATTTAAGAAACTTGATAAAATATTTCTACAACTTGATTAAATCATAATGATCAAGACCGAATATCTATTTTATAGTAGAATCATGGTAATATTCCAAACGTAGCTCTTGTATGACAATTTTTATTAGATTATAAGTTGGCTAAACTTTATTTTTGACCACATATTTCATTGGATCTAGAATTTTTAATCATATTTAACGAGATCCACCAGCAAATAATTTCAAAGAGTTTTGTTAAACAAGGACTTAATAAATGACTTGAACATGTTTTTAATGTTTGATATAGTAATAAAAAATAGCTTATCTATTTCATTGGAAATGTTTTGCCGTTTCACTTAGTCATCACGTTTGTGTCTGCATTTGACATGTTTTAATGTTTGATATGGCTAATCTTCGTTTCACATGTTTAGCTTAATTAGATTATTTCAAGGGTATAATAGTTAAATAGTTTGCACAACAACCCAATGCAGTGCATCGTATTGGGTCTTTTACTCAGTAAAGAAATGAATTATCACATATAGGAGGTAGCGTTATTCTAAAAGTCATTTTTAATGGGTTCGTAAAGTCAACTTACGAGTTTGAGAATGAGTTTGATTATGTTTTCAAAACAACTTTATCTAAATACTAAGATGTATGAGAGTGATAAATCGATATATACTTTTAAGCAAAAAGTTGTTAAAAAGGAATATTTTAGCAAAGTCGACTATGAAAACTTCAACTACGTCATGCAAAATCGTTCTATTATACATAGTATATATTTCATTTACTAGAAAATTTCATATCTAAGAGGTTAAGTATCACCAATTTCAAAATTAAGAACAAAGATTTCAAATTTCGAAAATCAGATATTTATTAAAATTTGTTTATTATTTAATTAATTAATTATATATTAAGATCACAGATCTATACAATTTGTTAACAAATTGGTGATTTAACTAGTCATGTATTATTTTTTCGATCACAAATACGAATTTTTATACGTCATAAATTATTTTACAGTTACAATTTAAAAAATTTATAGGTCACAATTTATTTATCGATCACAAATAAAAAATTTATAAGTCACAATTTATTTATCTGTCACAAATATCGTAAGTCACAACTTATTATACAATCACAAATTATCAAATTATATGTCACATATGAACAATTTTGAAGGTCACACATTATTTCTTAGTCACAATTCTTCTTTCCATCGGTCACAGATTAACCAATTTAATGGTCACAATCAACTAAATAATTTGTAACCATCACCAACACCTACAACCACTATCTCACCACTATTTCCAGCAGTAGGACCACCACTTGCAACCACTATAATCACAGCTTATTTATAGGTACATATTATCAAATTAATTGGTCATAAATTATCATCCATTTGTCTCACCTTACCACACCCTATTCCACTGCTGTCGAGCACCACCCAAAACATCACAACCCTAATTCCAGCACCACCATCAAAGTAGAATAAAGCTACTTTACCCGAATGTTGACATTCTCTCACATGCCGTAGGTCCCACGCGAATAAAAAAGTCTAAAAAAGTGGGCCCCCACCATTGCGAGAGTCGATCACCTCCTTTGTCAAAAAAAATCGAGCACTGTAGCGGGATTGATCAAAGTATTACTACCATCATCACTTGCACCAACAACGACTACTACTTTCTTTTTCTCTACCTTCAATTAACCACACAAACATACTTAAACTATAGATTCAACGTCGCTACCACAACCACCATTGCACCTCCACTGCTCGCACCAATAGCCAAATAGCGCCACCACCACCACACCAATACCACCAATACTGCCTATATCAACAATCTAACACACAGTCTACACATATGCATAGATCACATCACACAGAAATATTGCACCACATCTTTACCACCACGATAATACCACCGCCACTTGCATCAAAACCCAACCGCAATCCTTGTGCCCACACACAGACACACAGGGATTGTAGATTGCACACACAACCACACAGATTTAAATCCTAATTTTGACATTGATCATTGACGTGCCTCCATCGCTCGAAGATGTTGTAGATCGCTTTCCACCACAGATCACACACAAACACAGATTGCACACAAATAGAGAAAAGTATAGCTGAGAGAACCGCCTGTGCTACCCACACAAGAAGCAGCACTATCCCATTGTGTGGTCTCCCAAGACTGTAGTCGTCGTTGCGTGCTACCATGCTGCCTGGCCTCTCGAGAGTGGCGCCATTGTCATTGCTACATGCTACTAACAAGAACGCCATCGTCCCTTTGTGCTACCAACGTTGCGGGGCCTCTCGCCCCGTAATTGTGGTCGATGTGCGACACTGGAAGAGAGAGAAAAGACAAAGAGAGAGAGAGAATGTTATAGAAATATTTAGGCTGCGGTTGGTTTAGTTTTCTATTTTCCATTTTCGATTTCAAAAAGGTTTTTAGTTTTCTCAGAAAATGCCACGTTTTGGGTATTTTCCATTTTTTGGACATTTATAACTGAAGACGCTCAAAACGATAAAAAAACCATTTTGCGTTTTCAGTTATAAATTTTACCAACAAGGAAAACACATTTTTTATTCACTCGGGACCCATTTTCAAAAACGAGAAATGATAAGTGTGTTTTTACACACTTATTTGGATCATAAACATGACTTAAACATGGATAAAATGGTGGAATTGTGACTTAATCCAGTTAAATTTATGTATTGTAGGTAATTCAATGGAAATTGTGAAATTCAGGAGAAAAGAGCCGAAGAAGGACCAAAACGCAACAATTTGATAGTTCGAGGACCAAAGGTGCAAATATTGAAAAGTTGAGCTAAATGAAAAAAGAGAGGGAAGACATGCCAAGTATGAGCTCAATGACAAAGCAAAACAATTGGAAGAAGAAAATATTGAATAGGGACTGAAATGAAGACAATTGAAAGTTGGAGGACTAAAGCGCAAATACTCAAAAGATATGCCGAATGAGGGGCATAAGAATTGATGGTATCAATCATCAATTGGAAGATAAAATTTGTTGAAAAGATGAAGAAATCGAAGAAAGAAGTCAAGAGAAGCAACAAAGAAGTTCGGGGACCAAATTGAACAAACCACATAGATGTTACATCTATGCGACCGCATAGTGTAACCTTCTATGCGGTCGCATAGAGTTATTTTCAACTCTCGGGCGCAGTTTTTCGTTTTGGTTGAAACTCTTTTCCTACCTAATTTGGACGCGATATAAATACCAAAATTCATCATATGAAGAAAAAAGAACGACCAGGGAGAAGGAAGAGACCAAAATTGGAGGCAAGAAACTTGATTTTGGATTCAATTTCACACGGGCTCGAGACGGGATTGAAGATTATACACACGGATTGAAGAACTTCTATACGGGTGTATTCTTATTATCTTTTAATTTCGTTTTTCAATTTCTTGATTTTTAAATTATTTTTGTTGGTTGTGCAGTAGATGTGCTGGCATGAGTATAACTGAAGAAGAAAAGACCCAATATTTTTAAAGGTTTCGATGAGCATATAATTCATTTCAGTAGAGAAAGTGGGGTCAATGAGGGGTAAGGAACAGTGAAAAACAGCTAACGTGTGTTGGGGGAAGTCGTGGTTGGACTAAACCAGCAAATTAAAGTGTTATTTCTTTCCTAGTATTAGATATACCTAAGTGTGCATGGATATGAGTATTAGTTGTGAAGTGTGTGTAAGGATGGTGGCTTGGCCTTTTAACCCACGAGCTCAGCTCGGCTCGGGCTCGAGGCGAGCCGAGCTCATGGCTCATGAAAAATGATGCTCGGAACTCGAGGGCGAGCTTAGATCGGCCCACGAGCTTGCGAGCCTAGCCAAGACCATGAGCTCGTGAACTTTGTGTACCCATGAGCCACTTGCGGGCTTGACGAGCCGAGTAGGCTCGACTCCTGGAATTGAGGTGACGAGCCCGAGCTACCCATGAGTCGAGCGGCCTAGTCGACGAGTCGCTCGATTCGTTTGACATCCCTAAGTGTGTGTGACTAGAGTAAATGCATGAATCTTGACATGGATAAATTAGATTCCAAAACGTGTTGATTGACTTCATATATCAAAAATATAGTTTTAAGGATTTTGTTTGATTTGAGAACTCAAAAATTATCTTTAAAAATTAGAATATTAGTGTTAGAATTACTTTTTTTTTTTATTAATTGTGTCACTTTTTTATCTTCTTAAAGAAGTGAAATGATTGTCTTGGACATGATGATTATATTAAGAATCGGCACTACACTCACGCGTATTGTCTTGAACGTACTGAATATATTAAGAACATGATTATCGTTTTTTCTATACAAATGAATTGTGCTATTTTGGCGTGTCATTTTTTTTTTTTTTGAATTTTGTCAATTTTTGAGTATTTTTATCACTTTTTTTGAATTGTGAAAAAGTGACATCTGTCACTTTTTAATTTTACATAGTATTCTTTACTTTCAAAAATTTCTTCCTATGATTTTCCAAAATGCCCTGCCAAAATTTGATTCCCATAATGGCCCTTGTATAAACTTTTCAAATCAACGTTCCTTCGACTTTTATCTTTTCGTGCACTCCATTTCTCGGAAGAACATTGCTGCAAGGCTGCAATTGAAGAAATATATATATTTCACCCGACAAAACACAGTTTTTTCAAAAGAAAAGAAAAGAAAAGAAAATTCCCAAAGCTTCCCTTGTTGACTTCTTCCACTCTCTTCCGATATATTCCTTGAAACCCTAATTAGAGAGCGATGGATATTTCAACTCCTACATTCCCCGTACACCACTCCACTCTATCTCTCGATATTGAGGCAAGTTAATTTTCTACTTATTAAATCCCAAAATACTCGTATGAATTTAATTTGGAGTGAATTTTTGTTCTACTGTTCTGAGTAAGATTGAATATAGAATAATCAGATGTTCCCACTGTCTGTCTGCTTGTTTTTATTTTATTTTTTTATCTGAAATAATTCAAAGTAATGTGCCTTAAGCTGAAGCTGAAGCTGAAGCTGAAGCTGAAGTAATTTTGATTTATTATTATTATTATTTTTTTTTAATTTTAATTTTATTATTATTATTTTTTTTTACCGAATTGGTTACAATTTCCCAATTTTGATTTTGGTTTGAATTCGAACTCCTGGGTTTTCCAATTTTGCCTGTTAGGTTAATTATTTTGCTCGTGTTATGGTGGCAGGGGCATAAAACAGAGATAATCATTAGCAGTTATGAGGATCATTTCCTTGTGAGTTTCTGATCCTGGTTTGTATTTGAAGTATATCTATGTTTACGAGAAAATCTGAAATCTTAAAAATCTTCTAGGTTATTGTGACCCAAATTGGAAGCATGGGGACGATATTGCATGCCAGGTGAACAGACTTGTAATTCATTAGACTAGATGGTATTATGTTGGAAATCAATGATTTTATATGTTTGATTTTATTTGGCATAGAAGGAGAAAATAACATTTGTAAAATTGGTTGAGGTGGCAAATTTGGCTGTTGACATAGTTCTAATTTGGCAACAATGAGGATTAAGTTTTCAATTACAAGTCTGTCTGTCCCAATTCCGTGGTGTTCTGTCCTTCTACCTTGATTTTGTACAGATATAAGTGAAAGAATATGGAGTTCCTGTATGAAACAAAACTAAGTAGCTATGATGCACGGACACGGACACGGACACGTGTGTCCGACACGATACGTTTCGGATACGTCGACTCGTAATTTTTCAAAAAAGTACCGACACAACACATCGTTGACATGTTCATTAAATTTTTCATTTATATAGTTTAAATTTAGTTTTATACTTATTATTGATTTTTCTTGTTGAAATTTTTTAAATATGAGTAGTTATTTGTTATTTATTAATAACTTAATAGCTCTAGTAAAAAAGAAAAATGATTATTGTAAAGTGTCCATGCTACAGAGCTAAGTAGTAAGTACTGTTATGGGACTTATCTCAAAGGAAAGCAAGATAGATAAAGAACAATAGAAAGTGCAAAAGTCTAGGTTTCATTCTTATATCAAGATAAGAGACTAAATAATGAATAAATTCTAGAGCAAGACTTGAAAACCCATATTTATGGATCAAGAGAGGCCATAGTCAGGTGACCTGGACTGAATAGGATAAGTTCCATGGCTCAGCACACTTAAATTAAATTGTTTATAAATTCTTCCCCAAAGAAGGCTAAATCTCTGCCTTGAAGACCTATTAAGGAGACCAAGGTTCCCTACAGAATTTTCAATTAGTGCATTGGCCCATAAGGCTTTTGTTGTTTGTATAAAGAAAGAGAACGTTTATTTGCATATAGAACATGTATCTTCTATGTCCCTCAATTTTTTTTTTAATTTGTTTCTTACAACTTTTGAGATTCCTCTCTATTAGTACTTAGGAGGAGAGGAAAATGATTGAGGTCACCTTGTGCACCACGTACTCTAACTTGGCAAAAAAGTGAATGAGGATGTTATCTAATTTGGGAGAAGAAATTTCAACCATTATTTTAAATCTAGTACTGACTTCTATTTAACCATTTTTTGATCGATTGGGTGGGTGACAGAAACTGAGCAGATGCCCTCAGAAAATACAAGGGTTAGCTAGTAATTTTGGGATACTCCCAATATGTGATTAGCGGAGAATGCCAAACTTAAAAAAATATATTGTTAACGGTTTCTTCAATTAGGTAATAATGTATCGGTGGCTTAAGATTGTACCATAATAGCTTTTTCATGGTCTATTAGATGCTTAGTTTGACCTTCCATTTTTTCAAATTTTCTGAGTCACCTTTTACTGTCAGGGAGTTGCACAGTCCAGTGCTTCTGAGTTCTGATGAAGTAATACTGTTAGAAGATCGTGTTTGTTTCCCTGAAGCCATATTCAAAATCATTAATCTTTAACTTCCTTCAGGTCTGATTATGATCTAAATGACCAAACAAGTAAACTTATCTATTGTGTGTTTATGTTGTGAGTTCAATATTTTACATCAGTCTAACGGGTGATCAATTATTTGCTTATAATCCAACTTATGTGGCGATCGTCTGTATGTAAGGAACGCAAACATAGATGCAAATGTTTTAATCCACTGTAGGGTGTGAGCCCAAGAGCATGTGGTCTAGACCTATTTCCAATCTTTATAGGTATCTAAATATATGAGTTTTTGCATTAGTCATTGTATGTTAAATGTTTTTCATGACAAATCACTAGTGAATTAAGAAACGAGGCATGACTCATATTTTACGATTTGACTGAGTATGTTCTTATGATGTTTGCTATCTTAAAAAAATTTATTTGAGAACGTTTGTCTTGGAAATTTATGTTGCATTTGAGGAGTGGTAAATTTTGAAATGTTTAGAGTTGTAAATGAGTCCCACGTTTTTATTATTAATATATGTGCCTGATACTACTTTTATAGTATGTTTACTAGAGGTGGATCAGTCGGTGTTCAATAATATTAAGAAACAAAAAGAAATTAGAATCTTGACTATGTATAAGTCCAACGCAGTATTGTGTACCAAACATGACATTAAGAGTTGTATATTTTATTCCCAGGAAAGAGGAAGGGGTGTCAATTAATCCAACTTTCAATGTTTCTGTAACATTTGGTAAACGTGATGAGGTAAGCTCTCTGAGTTGTCACTTGTCAGTCAGTCGAGTCTTTGCTATTCCATTAGCTTAAAGGACTCGTCAATAGAAAAACATGAACTGATTTGCTAGATGACCATGTGCAGCCAATGCTAGTTGCATGTGCTCGACAGTTGATCGAATTCATAAGGTATAAATCAATTTGATTTCACAAATGGTTTCCTAATGTTTGTCAGACGACTGCTATCTACCATGCAACATTCTAATGTTCTCTGTTGCATTCATAGTGCCTCTGGATATTCTAAAGGATTAGTACTCTCCCTTGGCCTCAAGGACCACTCCGTGGTACGACATATTTTCCTTTATTTTCTCGAATACTGCAGTGTGGTCCTCAACTTATTGCCCAAGTAGCAAGTTGATTTCCAACAATTTACTATAGTTGCACAATTAGTCCCTAATGACACGTATCTGATAAATCTTATAGAAACATTTTTCCGCTTCAAATCCCTTTACATCAGAGCAAAATATAGTTTCCTAATATTGGAGTTGGAGAATGAGGGCCATGTAACGATTTAACTGATATTTGTACCATCTCCCCCACGGAGGACTGATTGTGCAAGTATAATGAAAGGTCATAGCATATCCTTTTCTTTTTTAATATTGTCGACCATCGTACTAATACCCTTTCCATCTATGCAGGGAACGCTGAAACACATCGTTTCTGCTGTAATTGAGAAATTGCCTGTGGTAACTTAGTATTATGATCTCAACAATTTGCGTTTGGTGGCTTGTTTGCCCTGCAAGGAGTAAAATTGCGAAAAATAGTTAGAACTTTGTTTCTTTTCTTGTAGCTCGTCAGTTTCAGTGGCTTGGCATTGAATATGCATTCGTCTTGACGTGACATTGAAAAGTTTTGGCCCTTCTATAACATGATATAACTGTCTGTAAGATGAAACGGAACATATCAATAACATATAGATTGGTATTTCAGCCATCCATCCTCGAGTATTTGTTCCATTTCGACATCATCTGTAAATTGGAAAACCATTCCATGGTAACTGGCGACCTGGTGGAAATTAGATATAAAATTAAATTAACAGAAAATAGATATTTTCTCTAGTTCGTGCTTTACTGCTATCTGTGACAAATATCAAGGTTTTTGTGCCTATTATCTTTTTATATTTGAAAAGTTGGTCAATTAATATTATTTTGAAAAGTCAGGTATTAGTAAAAGGTGGAAAATAGTATACCTCAAGGTTTTAATGCATAATGCGTGACAATGCGTTTCGATCGAGCATCAAACATTACAAGTATATGCATGCTTTTGCAAAGGATATATGGAATTGTGCGTTTTCTGATTTTTAATATTCTGAATTAATAAATAATAAAATAATGGATTAATCGTCTTCTTGATCGGAGGATCGTCTTTTCTTATGCAATATCTCAACATTCTAAATTCCATGGCTAACTACTTTATGAGAGATACACCTAATAAAGTTTATTCCTATTCTTCCCCTTTCTGTCAATGTTGCTTGTGTGTGTGTGTCTATATATATATATATATATACACACGCGCACGCGCGGTTTTTGGTTTTCATTATAATACAAATAAGTCTATTGATTTTTATTTTCTCTTCTCTCTTTTTTAATAATATATTATCAGCATGATAGTTTAATTTTTTAAACTTTAGTGATGGTAATAATTTTTTTTAAGCATAATTATTTATCATATGTACCAAAGTTAATTTGATGACGTGAAATTTTTTTCGTCAATTCACGTGTCGAATTCATGTATGCTGGCTTTATTCATAAATTCATAAGCTCAAATCATGCAAACAATGATACATGTTTGTTTGTTTTTTGTTGACAGAAAAGTTGCCCAGCCTTTATAATTAAATGGTCAATCGATTTGACTAATTTTACAACCGTATTCGATTAGTTCAATTCAGGTTTACTAATAGGCTAAATATTTCGTTAATTCATGGATTTTTGTAGGCATAATGTAATCATCATATCCATGATGGTTACTTTATCTTATTTGCATGTTTATATATGAAATCAATTCACTAGAAGATTTTTTACTTACATATTTTCAATTTTTCTATATAAATTCATATCATGTCTATATAGTAATTAATTTTTTAAAATATTTTTTTTATAAATTTTAAATTAACAATTTATCATATTGTTGCTTCTGATATATCACAACATTATAATCAATATTCTAGAAAAATATAAATCATAGATTCATCTATTATAAATAATTTGTTTTTGTTCTTGAAGTAGCACAATATTATAATTAATATTCTTGAAAGATAATATTTGCTCCTAAAGAGCATAAATTATAATTTTCAATATTTTTCTGAAATATTGACATATTGCTTTTTAAAAAGTAATATTAAAATATAACGTGCTCTTGAAGTAGCATATGTTTAAAAAAAACATATTGTTTTAAATTAGCGTTTGTCATTGAAGGAAAACAAGTAACTTATTCATGTTGATATTAACTATTTTGTGACTTTTAATCATATTTTGCGAAACTAATTGTATTTTCCTTATTGTGTAGTTAATCAAATTGTAAAAATCACACAATTTGAATTTGTTGCACTTGACATATCTATCAAAAATTATTTATTATGGATACTCAATGTTAATATCCATCTTATCTCAAACGATTTGTGAGTGACAATAATAAAAGACGGAAACAAAGAATCCCTATAGGATCATGCAAAGCACTCATCTTCCTTCGTTATAATCCTCACGATGGATCGAAAATTGAATGTCTCTCTAAAAACGATCCACAGGTTCTTTATAAAAATTAACTGAAAGATTTGATTTTCAAATGAGCTCGTTATAAGTGGATGCTCATTCATTTGCAAGATTTCAAAATTGTCATATTCTCACCCATTTCTCTTTAATTTCTTTCTTCTTTTTTTTTTTTAAATTTTTTTTCAGTTGAGTTGTACATTATTTCTTCCATGAGTGTACTTACATATGATACTATTGCAGGGTTTTGGTTGGTGTTGAAGTTTTGTATAAAAGGACGATTTTGTTGGGAAAAATGTTTTGTATTATATATAAATGGGGTTTAGGGATTTGGGGCTTGACCGCCTCACCACTTGTGGCAAGTAATTATCATGTTATTGTACGTTTTAATTTTTTTTTTAATTTTTTAATTTTTAATTTTTTTTAAAATTTTCGTTTTCCACTTTGTACATGAATTGCTATGATGAGAGTCTTGAAGTTTTCCCTTTTTTCGATTTTACCATAACTCAAGAAATATTGCTATATAAGAGAACTTCTTCTTTCCTTTTGAATATGTTATGTAGCTTTCTCTTGTTGATTTTGTTAGCTTCTCTTTGTCTTACATTGGTATGAACGATACAATCTTTGTTTGTTATTGGATAAGTAGTAAATTTAGAGGAAATTTGTATCTTTATTTTGTGGTGCTACTACTTTTCAATGTACATGGAATTTCTTTTTAGCTTGGTTTTCCATGTGGTGATCTTTTTGGTCAAGCAAAAAAACGACACTTAACATAGAATTGAGAACTTGGATGGGAAATTGGATGGGCAAGTAGAGATTTTGAAATTATTTAGGAATGAGATAATTCAAAATAGAATAATAATAATTATTATTATTTTCATAAGTTGATTTTCTATTGTGTACATTGGAATATTCCATACTATTGGTTACCTATACAGTTTGGCTTTAAGTTAGCTTCTTTAGCTAGGTGAATGGAAGAATCAGATTGTTCCAAGAGCTGCCATATTGCGCAATATAATTTGTTGCAATACTCAAAAAAATTGGACTTCGCTAACTCCCAAGTCTTTCGTGTCTTTTTTGTTTGAAAAGCTCGCTTGTCGTAGTTTATGTCGACGTTTTGTGATGAAGTGAACTAGTTAAACTTTTGGCTCATGCTACAAAACCCAGGGTAAAATCCCGGGTTCTGCTCGAGGCTGAGGTGGCAATCACCTCGACCCTTGATCATTTTCATGTGGGCCCCCCCCACACATCCAGGGGCCGAGATTTGGCCACCTCGGACCCTGGATCGGAGCTCGGGACTGCAGCTTTATTCTAAACTTTTAGCCTTTCTGCTTGACTGTTGATGAGTCAGTTTTTTGTACCTTGGCCGTCACATTTGTTCTAACATCGCGTTTATTGCTTTCTCATTTTGGCGTGTAAACTCTATTTATTTAATATTTGGAATTACAAGCTACACAAGCTACTCTCACTGGAAGGCAAATATGTAAAACATATTGCATTGTCTTAACTGAAACTATTTTGTACTTCACATAAACTATAATTCTCTTATTCTTTCAATTTGTGGTGTTGAGGAGGGGAATTCCTTTTTGAGGTTTTTTACCTTCCTGATAACAAATTACTATTTAATTGAATTATTTATTTTTGATGCATCGTTGAATTGGTTAATCTTTGTTGTCTCATTGATGATTTATTTGTATAGGAGTTTGTAAATATTGGGGTTATGTATCTATTTAGCATTGTCAATGGATGGAGGCAAAAAATGCCTGTGTTGACACACTAAAAGTGCAGCCCAAATGGAATGGCCCAAGGAATGAAGTCCAATTAGGGAATTCCCAAATCAAATAGCCCAAAGAATGAAGCCCAACTTAACAATTCAGGATAAAGGCCCAGATAGGGTTATTAATGAATGCAGTGGAAGCCCACGAACACGGTAACATCATCACCCAAGCTTACAAGACGCCCAAGATCTGAGCGAATGAAGTGCCTTACAGTCGCCCAGAGCATGACCCTGTTTTCGCCAAAACCTTCGAATCGCCCAGGATATTAGCAAACATAAGATGTTATGGTTATCCAAAAGTGCAGTTATTGAAGCAGTTATTGAGTAACATTATCACGTTCCACGATTTAAGGAGTTCAGTTGAAGACGGTTAAACGACAAAGAGTAGTGGCAGCAATTAGAGACAGCAGTTCCACGACAAATTAGCTACCATAAAGAAAGTTGGTGGTTATGAAGCAATCAAACAGTTTCCAAACGGTTTGTCACAAAGGAATCATCGAGAGAATATAAAAGGAAGAGAAGACATAGAGAGAAAGGACCCCGAATCAAACACTCTCAAACAGAGAATATGTAATTTCAATTTCTTATTTTAGACATAAACATTTGTTTTCAGTACTCGTGTGCTTGTGCCCCTTAGAGGCATTCTGTTTAAACTCCAATTGTAAAGTCATCGCCAATAAAACACCCCCTTTTGGGACTTTGTCTCAAGAGGTTTGTTCCTTACACAATCGTCTGATTTTCTTTTTAATTGTTAGCGACTACCCGCGCGAAACAATTTGACACGCCCAGTGGAACCTTGGTGTTTGGTGTTGAAGATACAAAAGGTGAAACAATATACCTCAGAAATCTGATAAGGAAGTAAGTCAGGGAGGAGTCCAGTCTGTGATCGAGCGATATGAGGAGCATCATAGCTCTCCACGAACAGAGGGACAGAGTCAGAGCAGTCACAATCATTACGAACCAATGACAGAGTTGAGTTCTCGAACCATGCGTGCATTACTTGGAGAACTCACACAGGATATCATTGAACAGGTAAATCTACGAAATATTCATAATATGGAAAGATTTACCAAAATGGAAATGCACATTATGACAACATGGCCAAATAACTGAATACTCTGAATGAAATAATGAATAAGTTAGTAGGTCAAATTTATCAGCCAGTTGTGCCTCTTGCAAATCATTTTCAAGCTAGGACAATTGTGGGATATAATCCCCCAGTCCTAAGTCCAAATCAAGGGATAGAATCACCTTTTCGTCCCTCTACTTCAAACCAAGGGATGGTATAATGCCAAATCAGAATAGTGGCAATGGTACATCTAACTTGGGGGGTAACCTAAACGTAAGAGACAATTTCCTAAATAATGGACAGAATGCCCCACGTGTTAATGATGAAATAAATATTCAGGCTAATGGTAACAATGGCCCAAATCATGGCAACTTTGTTGCCAACCA